ACTGCATCCATAAGTGTAGGTCAAGTTCATCAAAGTGTATGAGATTACTCTTTTTTACCTCTTCTTTCTTCTTCTAGTTGAGCTGTGGTCATCCAGTCATTGAAGCCAGGTCAAGTGGGTATTATCTGCAAGTGTAGGTGTTCTTATGCTTGTGCCCTCTCTTCTTATCAGCTAGATGCTTCACTCTCCACTCTAGTCACCTGTAGCTATGTCACTGACTCTGGGCCCAAGAGACCCCAGGTCTTGCCACACTGCTGGCCAACCAGGTCTCCAGCATGGTTCACAGGAGTCTATTGAACGTGGTAGGGCTTAGCTCGCCTCTTCATTGCTGTTTTTCCCTCACTTCCCCATATTGGTGACGAAAGTGGTCACCAATCAGAACTTGTATTCCCATGTAGTCTTAGTCTTGTAAAGCGGTTTGCCCTGAGGGCACCCAACTACTTGCCTTGATGTCTCCTGGGTGAACAATTTGCTTATTCTTGTAGTAATCAGTCGGACTACCTATATTGTTTTGTATTTTTCCTGTAGGTCTTTCTTTCAAGAAGTATCTTCTGTTCTTCTAGCTGCTCCAGGTTTGTCTGCTTGTCCTTTCAAGTGGTAATTTCCCACCTCAGAAGATTCTGGAAGCGGTTCAGGATTCCACCTATGTTCTTATGTAATGCAGTGGCTCCGCAAGAAGCCTCTTTCACTGGGCATGTTGTAGCCCCATTTTAGGTATTCCAATCAATTATAGGCAGAAGTCTTTCTATGGTGATATTTCTGGCTATTCCTTTCTCTCCCCCTCAAGTGTCAATTTCATAATGGTATGCCAGGGAAACCAAGATTCAAAAGACATCCAAGCATCTTAACATTATTTCCTCCCTTTTCTCCATTACAACCATGTCTCAACCCTGTATCCCAGAGCCCTGTTGTTCCAAGGTTGTACATATATCATAATTTACCTATGTCACACTTAGCCCATGCAAACCTGCCTAACTGTTTTCCTGTCTGCTTTATTCTTCCAGTTCCCTCCCCCTTCTTGTGTGTAGCACCCAAACTATCCTGTGTCTATTCCCTACCCTGTGCTCCACCTTCCCCTTCCTCCCCTTACCCCACCTCCCTAATCCAGTTAACCAGCAAAGAATCCTCTCCCTGCCTTTAGTATAGGTTGTTTTTCTTAGTCTTTTACAGTAGTGGTCCTATGCAGTATTTCTCCTTTTGTGACTGACTAATTTCACTCAACATAATGTCCTCAAGGTTCATC